TTCTGCAACCTGCGTCATTCAGGACTGGTTGCTCACATTTTCCCTTTTCAAATACCGAATCTGGACTTGCCTGATGTCAATCCAGAAGATCCCCAGGGCTTTGGGGTCAGGTTTGAGTTTCTTCCTGGGCCAGGGCCATGTGGGTCACAAGCAGTGTTTGTGGTTTGGAGACTAATTCCCTGAGAGGCTCCCCTGGCCATGGGCCACATTCCAGCCTGGGGTGGGAGGAAACTGCCTAGTGCATTTATGGAGAGTCATTCTCCAGCCCATTTATAAGCTTTGTGAGTTGGGGTGGCTTTTGAAGGGAGGAGGGCTGTCCTCCGTTCAGTCATTGCTTCTCAGCAGAAGGGCACCATAAGGCGTGAGTCCTCTGTTGGCTCTCCATGCCTGCCTCACACTCCGTTGTACTCAAACATGCCAGATGCTAACTTAGCTGTGTTCATGTCTCTATCTGAGCCCCTGGAGGGCAGTGAAGGTCTCATCCATCCCCAGGGTCTGCCACAGAGTAGATGTGATGAGGTTGAGGCTGCATGGTCCTGGTTGGTGTGTCCTGTCCTGAGATGTATTGGGCCCTGTTTTTGACCATCAGCATGTTGCATTCTGCATAACCCCTTGGAAGTCTCTTGTGGAGTCTAAATGCAGTCCTTCCTGCTGTGATTTCAGCTGCAAGAGATCAACCAGACCAACCTGGAATAAGGAAGGAAGGGCCTGGATCCTGTTCCCAGTCTTGTTCTTACCTTGACCAAACTCTTCACCTGTTTTTGGGCCTCAGTCCTGCCCTCCTCTAGATCTAAATTGTGAAGATTCATTTTTTTCCTTCTTATTTAATTTTAAATTTATTTTTGTAGATATGAAGTCTTGCTCTATCACCCAGGCTAGAGTGCGGTGGCACGATTATAGCTCACTGCAGCCTCGACCTCCTGGACTCAAGTGATTCTCAGTAGCTGGGACTACAGTCGTATGCCTCCACACTCTGCTAATTAAAAAAAAATTTCTGTAGAGATGGGGTCTCACCTTGTTGCCCAGGCTGGTCTCAAACTCTTGGCCTCAAGTAATCCTCCTGCCTCAGCCTCCCAAAGTGTTGGGATTACAGGTGTGAGCCACTGTGCTTGGCTTTATTTTTCCTTATTTTCTTCCCTACTTAGTTCCTCTAAGCCAAAGGTTAGCTGCAAAATGGAATAGTAACTATCAGAGGGTTGTTTGAGAAAAGATACTGCTGCATGTAAAGTGCTTAAAGCATAGGAAGTTATATAAGTGTAACTATTATTTCACTTACTGGAATTCTTTAGAAGATTTTTGAGCCTCCCGCCCCCTGGTTTTTTTTTTTTGAGACGGAATTTCGCTTTGTTGTCCAGGCTGGAGTGCGGTGGTGCTATCTCGGCTCACTGCAAGTTCCGCCTCCCGGGTTCACACCATTCTCCCGCCTCAGCCTCCCAAATAGGTGGGACTATAGGCACCTGCCACCAAGCCTGGCTAATTTTGTTTTTGTATTTTTAGTAGAGACGAGGTTTCCCCGTGTTAGCCAGGTCTCGATCTCCTGACCTTATGATCCGCCCACCTCGGCCTCCCAAAGTGCTGGATTACAGGCGTGAGCCACCTTACCCGGCCAAGTTTTGAGCCCCTTTAAAGAAAGCTCTACAAAGTCTAATGGTGGCTGACCTCCCTCTGCCTGACCTGGAGTGAGAGTGGTGGTAGGGCAGGAGGAATAAGTAGGCAAGCCTAGGGGTTAGAGCAAGGGATCCTTAGCCAGGGGGGACCTCCCTAGTTTGACTCCCAGCAGCATCGCCCATCACTACTCCCACTTTATCCCCATTCCCCATTGGTGACCCCTACCTCACCAGCACACATGGGTCTACCCATGTACCCACATGCACTCACATCCACATGTACCCACAAATCTCCCCTTTTCAGCACATAGATGCACACATGTTCACATGTATAATCACATATTTAAAAACCCTCACCATCTCTCTCACACACGCGTTTCCACACAGGTAACTGGAATGTGCATGTACCTGAATGCAATCATATTGCTCCACTCACAGTTATCTCTAGGCGTTGAGCAACGCAGAGTGAATACACAAACAACATGCGCATACACTGCACAGTTGCATGAAACCTGGAATCCCCATTTCCCTCTAGCCCCTAATCTTGTCCCACCTCTCCCAAAGAATAACACAGTTGGCTGAGCGCGGTGGCTCACGCTTGTAATCCCAGCACTTTGGGAGGCTGAGGTAGGCAGATCACAAGGTCAGGAGTTTGAGACCAGCCTGGCCAATAAGGTGAAACACCGTCACTACTAAAAATACAAAAATTAGCCAGGTGTGGTGGTGGGCACCTGTAGTCCCAGCTACTTGGGAGGCTGAGGCAGGAGAATCGCTTGAACTTGGGAGGTGGAGGTTGCAGTGAGCTGAGCCCACACCACTGCACTCCAGCCTGGGTGACAGGGTGAGACTCTGTCTCAAAAAAAAAAAAAAAAAAAAAAAAAAAAAAGAAAAAAGAAAGAAAAAAAGAATAATAGAGCTTTAAATTGGTAAGGGATGTTAGCAGCCACCTAATCCAAGCATTTTCTTTTCTTTCTTTTTTTTTTTTTTGAGATAGTCTCGCTTTTGTTGCCCAGGCTGGAGTGCAATAGTGCCATCTTGGCTCACTGCAACCTCTGTCTCCCAGGTTCAAGCGATTCTCCTGTCTCAGCCTCCCAAGTAGCTGGAATTACAGGCATGCACCACCACGCCTGGCTAATTTTTTGTATTTTCAGTAGAGATGGGGTTTCTTCCTGTTGGTCAGGCCGGTCTCGAACTCCTGACCTCAAGTGATCCACCTGCCTCGGCCTCCCAAAGTGCTGGGATTACAGGCATCAGCCACTGCCCCCAGCCCCAAACATTTTATTTCACTAGCAGATACACTAAGGCCCAGAGAGGGGAGTTGACTTGCTAAAGGTCACACAGTGAGATGTTCCATTTTCTTCATCATTCTGCACCCGGGGAATTATGTGTTTGATTCCTTCCTGCCTTGCTCCTCTGCCTGAGCCTGTGCAGGAATGGGAACCTAGAGGGAGGTGACGGTGGTAGGGCTGGAGTAGGAAGGGAGGGTCAGAGCTAGAGGTAGGGTGAGGGAGTGAAATACAGCAGGGCACTAAGGCCCAGTTGGGCTGAAGTTGGGAGAGGTGAGAAGTCTATCAGGACTGGAGTTGCAGTTGGCTTCTGAACTAGGGAGGGATGGAGCTGGTGCTTGAGTCTCAGGTCTGGACTTCTCACAGGGGCTGCTGCTGCTGCTTCTTGTTTTTTTATTTTTTTGAAACAGGATCTTGCTCTGTCGCCCACGCTGGAGGCAGTGGCTCAAACATGGCTCACTGTGCAGCCTCAACCTCCTGGGCTCAAGCTGTCCTGCTTCAGCCTCCTAGGTAGCTGGGACTATAGGTGCACACCACCTTACCCAGCTAATGTTTTTATATTTTACAGAGACAAAGTCTCACTATATTGTCCGGGCTAATCTCTAACTCTGGGGCTCAAGCAACCTTTTCACCTTGGCCTCCTAAAGTGTTGGGATTATAGGTGTGAGCCACTGCACCTGGCCTAGGGCCAGCTTCTGAGCTGTGTGATGTCACAGCATAGAGGGCTAGTTGGAATGATTGATCACAAATTCTGGAACTTTCCAGGATTCTCTCCTGCTCAGAATTCCATCAGGGGTGACTGAGAGCCCTTGGTTTGATTCTAGCTTTTACAAGAGACTTTGCTTTTTTTCAGTCCACTCAATTCTGGTCTGTTAATATTCTTAATCATTTCTAGTGCGCAGAAGGGTAGGGGTGGGGGACTCCCATTTCTGCTGCATTTTCTGGGCCTGGAACTGGAAGTGTAGAGATTCACCCTGGCCTAAAGATATATGTTCAGGGAGTCACCTTGGCCCATAGTGGAGCTGAGCTGTCATCTTCCCCTTCCCCTACCTCATCAGTGTCCAGGGAATACTTCCATGCATGAAGGAGCTGAATGGCCCTGGTAACCACGGAGATTTCTCTCTGTACTTGCAATCTCTGATTACAGATATAAGTATAATAAGAGGTTAGCCACAAGAGGCCCTGATCCCTAGAGGGACTTCTACTTTACATTCTGCAAAAGAATAGCACTAATGATAAAAAATAGAGTGATAATTTTGTGGCATGCACTATGTAAGCCTTTTACATATATGAAATCCCTTAATCCACTCATCAAATTATGAGGTGGTTGCCTTTCTATCCTCCTCATTTTAGAGGTGTGGAAGCAGGCACAGGGAGGGTACATACATTGCCCAGCCCCACTCAACTAGGAAGGACCAGGGCCCAGCTCGGGGCCCAGGCAGTCTGGCTGGAGTCTGTGTCCCCACTCTATGCCACATCATCTTGCTGTGTGCTGTTTTCTGTCTTTGAGGAAATGTATCAGCTGTGGCAGATCTCCAAAACCCCAGAGTGACTCCGTTCAAAAAAAAAAGAAAGCCAACATCAAAGGCTTTTGGAAACTTTAAATCATATTCATGTGTTCACCCCTTAAAGAATTCCAATAAATTACTCAGGCATGAGTCTTCCCTGTCAAAGCAATGGGTGATGTTGCTTCAAGCTTTGAGTGATTGGTGAATCTGATTTTCATGATCCACCAGTTTCCAGATATGCACGAGGTGTTTTCTGGGAGACAGCTGCAGTTTAGTGAAATGAGCCCTAGCGACACACACAGGACTTAAACCCCAGATGAACCACTCAACTAAGTGGGGGACCCTGCCCCAAACACTGAGTGCCTCTGAACTCTGGCTTCTTCATCTGCAAGGTGTATCATTAGGGTTGTGTGGATAAAGTTACATCAAATAGGGGCCTAGCACAACTCCTGGCTAAATCTGAACCTTCTGTGAGGCGAGTGATAGAGAACTGTACTGGAGACCCTTGGCCTGGGCCTTTTGCTGCTCCATGTGACTTTGGGGATCCTCCCTAACCCCGACCCCTGAGGAGGGTAATAGAGATGCAGACAAGACCCAGGTTAGCTACATTAATTTATTGAAACACAGATCAAGGGCAGAGGAAGAAGGGGAGAGGCAGGAAGGCAGTGGCCATGGGCAAGGTTCTGGTCCTGGCCCTTCCTGCTCCTGAGGCCCCTTCCTGTGGCTGCCAGGGTAGCCTTTCCCATTGTGGGGTGGCAGAGCCCAGAAGTAGGGGATCACACAGAGAAATGTGAAGCCAGGAGTGGGAGGGGTCTTTCAAAGTGCAGGAGAAGTAGCTGAGCACTTGCTCCAGGTGCCTGGACTGGATGGGCCGAGCAAGGCAGGGCAGGAAAGATGCCTGGGGCCTGGGACTTGAGTTGGGGTGCCTAACATTTCCGGTAGCTGCTGCCGCAAGACCCCACACCCAAGGAACTGATACCACAGGAGCCCACGCCGCAGGAACCCACTCCGCAGGTGGTGTTCAACTGGCCACAGGGCGCACACAAGCCGGTGCTCACCGCCACGTTCCCGTTGCATGGAGCGCTGCAGACACTGCCAGTCACTGGCCGGGAGCCTGACACGCAGAGGTCCCCGCACACGACCCCACCCCGGGAGCTGCTGACACCTGTGAACCCCGAAGGCTGAATCAAAATTCTGGAGGGCGAGCCATCCTGCCTCCCTGACCACCGCCCCTGCCTAAGACCTGAGCTCTGGTATGAAAAGTCAGAAGCATCTTTAGTGCACAATTGTAGGTCCATCTAGTCCAAGAGATTAGGTCTTTCGGGTGTCTGACCCCAAATCCCTCCTGTTGTGATGCCAGCCCACTCTTTTACATTTAATCTCAGTGACACTCCTTTTTTCCAAACTCTGCCCTCCATCACAGGGAGCTAGTAAATCTGTCCACACCGGACCCCAAATACTCACAGACATTCACAGCCCCAACGCCTTCACATAGCCTGAGGGCAAAAGAGAAAAAGCAACATTAGTAACTGCCCCAGAGTGGCTGAAAAAGCTCCCCAAGTCATAGGGTAGTGTCCATAATTGGTCGATTAAGAACAGAGTCTGAGGGAAAACCTTGTCTCAGACAAACACACACCAGCCCTCCCCACACCGGAAGTGAATAATAATAATTTTTTTTTTTTCCCCAGAGCCCTGGCCCTTGTTCAGCCAAGGCCAAGGGTAGGCTTGTGCCAGGGATGAGGAAGCGGGGCTCTGGGCCAGGCTTGGTTGGACCCACCTCTGCTCCTCGCCCTCCAGCAGGCGCCTGTAGGTGGCGGCTGACCCACTTGCTCCCTCGCCTCCCGCGCGCCTGTAGGTGGCGATCTCAATGTCCAGGCCCAGCTTGGAGTTCATCACCTCCTGGCAGGCCTCCTGATCAGGCAGGCCATGCGTCCTGCTTGGCTTGCAGGGCGCGCTCCAACTCGCCTTGCAGCTGGCGCCACTGAGGGCCGCCACCCTGCTGCTCAGATTCACACCGCGGCCTCCAGCTTGGAGTTCTGGAAGACAACAGAGAGAGAACAAGGCAGATCAGAATCCTGGGTCTCTGATGCTTACCTGGATGAGACCATGCTCCCACCAACCTGGGAGCACCCCAGAGCAGAGCCTCTCTCTCACCTTCATCACCTGGGACTCACTGAGAGACTACAAACCAGGGACTCTACATGACAAAGGGGCTGGAGAATGAATGCTGAGATCTGGATGTTACACATAGGTTGTGTGAGACAATGGTTAGCCCTCGGCCCTGGACCTTGGGCACAGATGACCCATACCTGCACTTGGCGTTCTCCACCTCGGCCGTCAGCCTCTGATCAGGCGGTTCAGCTCGTTGATTTCCTCCTTGGTGTGCGGCAGGGTCTCCCAGCATGCCTAATTATCGTGGCCTTCATCTCCTACACACTGGGGAAGTAGAGATGCTCATGAGGCTCAGGGTGGGACTTCCCATCCATTCAGGGCACCACGGATGATTATGCAGGTTGTACAGTGCTCAGCCTGTGCAACCACACATGGTAGTCCTGCTCCTGCCACCTCAACCTCAGAGTGGCAGCCAATCTCTTTCTCATCCCTAGGACCTGTGCATCCCCAGAGAAGAAGCCTATTTAGTAGATACCTCACATCCCTCCCACTGCCATGTCTAGCAGGCAGGTGTCCTAAAGTACCACTCCTTTGCTGCGGGGTATCAGGACTCGGCCCTCGGCCCGGCCAAGTGGCAGGGACAATGTCGCCGCATTGTGCCTTTGATCTCGGGCGACGATGCAGTCTGGGCGTTCAGGTCCTGCCAAGCGTTCAGCTTGACAACCAGCAGAGGTAAGCACTGAGATGTGGGACTGGAACCTGGATCTCCCTGCAGGAGGTGGGCAGTGACGGCTGGAGAACACAGCCCCACCCACCATGTCCTGACTCCACCTTCTCAGGCTTTCTGGTCCCCAGCCCTGCCCCTCACACAGCCCTCCTCCTTGACTGCAACCTCTACCCACATCCTGTCCAATACTCCCACCCCCAACTCTCCTCTCTCTCTGGGCTGGCTGCCAGGTCTCCTGCCTGGCCCCCTGGGCCCGCACCTCCCCATACAGCCAAAGGCCTCAGGAAGTCGATCTCCTGGATCAGGCCTCACGTTGGCTTCTAGTCTGACTTGGCGGAGGTAGGCGCAGTCCACATCCTGGAAAGGTGGGAGTGTTGGAGCCAGAGGACGCTTGCACTCCGCCCCAGATTCTCTCTGCCCTCCGCATTCCATGCAGGTGCCAAGGGAAAGTGGTGTCCCCGGTGTCCCGTTCCTATGCCTCTCCTTCCTTCTGCCCTTCCTGGGATGAGCGAGCTGGCATCCTCTGCCTCCTCTGAGGACAAATCCTGCCTCTTGCTTTGGGCACGACTCACCAGCCTTTCACCCCTCCTTGCCCTCCTGTCTCTCCCTTTCTCCCCTCTCCTGCTCCAGGAAGCTCCGCTCCACTGACTCCCCGTTTCACACTCCTAATCTCTTCCTGTCCTCTTCCTCAGCAGTGCTCCAAGAGCCTCCAGTTCCTGCTGCTGATCTCTGCTCCATCCTCCCTTAGACCCTGGATTGTGTCTGTGCCTCTGCTGACTCCCCAAAATGCTAGACAGACTGCACTGTCTCTCAGCAGAGACACTGCATCTGCTATGGCTCCAGGGGACTCCAGCAGAAACAGACCACAACCTCTGGAGCAGAGCAGGACACACAGAGGACAGTGCAGCCATCCTCGCCCAAGGCAGTTGGTAGATGTTCCCAGGCTGCCCTTTTTCAAGACCCTGGATGCTCCATCCGATGACCTGCACCTGGGCAGTCCTGTCCTCGTGGAAAGGTCACTGTGCTCCACACTGAGGTTGGAGAATTTCCTGTGTGTCCCCAGGAAGAGCCTGTCATTCTGAGATCCCACAGATCTGTGCTTCTCAATCCTGTGTCACTTGCCTTCTTCAGCCACATGCTACAAACTCGCTCTCAGCTGTTGCTCTCAGAGAAACCTCCTCCTCATACCTGAGGCAGAGCAGTGTAGGCAGAGGGGAGGCCAGTGAGCAAGGCAGTGGCCCTCTGCAGAGCCCTCATCACATCACATACTTCACTACAGCCATGGGGACAGTACTAGAAACACCCCCACACAGCCCGGGCCTGGCAGACTAGCCATCGCTGATGTGGATGGGAATGATTTCACTTTAACTTAGAGAAAGAGGGTTCTTACTTAAATTAGTTCCCAGCCTCTCAAGGTTCTGAGTGTCTTTGAGGGGGTTGGGATTCAGTTTACCTTGTCCCACTGCAGAGCTTCTAGCCTGGGAGCCCTAACCTCCTCTCTCACCAGGAACTCCAGCCTAAAAAAGGACTGACTTATGCTTAATTTGCAATGTTGAGTTTGACTTAGCTTGACTTGAGAGACCCTGGTCTCGCTAATCTGATTGGTGGTGCTACAGATATCGGGGCTGAGGGTCAGGAGAGAAGCAGAACCCTGCAGAGGCTTCCTCCCACCCAGCGCAGGAGAGCTGCTGGGTGATGTGGCTCAGGGAAGAGGGAAGGCTGAAGTGGCATAGAGACAGGTAGGGAGTTATAGCTCTCTCCTCTACATACAGGTAAGCCTGGGCAAAGATTCCACAAATGAAAAGACCCCGCCACCCTCGGTCAACTCTAGTGGTCATGGCCACCACCCTACCTGGGAGTTTCCCATTGTCTAATCCAGTGTATTAACCTTAATCCCATCCCTGTGCCCAGCATCCTCCCATGTCACTCACTTCTTCTGTATCCTCCAGCACCTCTCCCGCACGTGGTTGAGCCTGGGAGGCTCACCGTCGGCTCCACGCACCTCGGCCCCGCCGCAGAGTCTCCCGATGTAGCCCCCAATGGGGCTCCCAGGTTGCTCTGGCAACACCTGCGGTTCTGGAAGAACTGCAGCTTGTCTCCAGCTTGTTCTGCTGCTCCAGGAAGCACCTGCCATTCAGAGTGGGAAGGAGGGGTGATGGTTTCTGGGAAGCCCCCAAAGACAGCTCTGGGGACCTGGTGGAGGAGGGATACTTTGAAAGGAAACTCTAAATCTGGAGCTTATCTGAGACTGAGTAGAGGCAGGAGAGCAAGATAATTTCTGGATTTGGTCATGATCTGTGCCTAGATTTCCCACCCAGAAATGGCAAGGGCGGGTGGTGTCAGTGCCTGCCTCTGGGAGCTGAGTGACCCCAAGCAGATGGGAACACAGGAGGCTCAGCCTCACCTGAAGCCAGGTGAGGCAGCATCCTCACAGGCAGAGAGTACCTGGTAGGTCTGATCACAGATGGATTGGGGATGGTGCCAAGAAGAGGGTGTCTAAAGAATCACCATCTGAAGGGAGCCTGTGCTGTCCCAGCCTTCCCCCTATGTCATCTGGAAGTCAGCAATCTTACTTTCACCCTGGGGCCCCCAAACTCTCTGAGGTCAGCAGCAGCAGTCACATGTCCCCATCCCCAAATCCCTGATGTCTAGCTTTGTGCCCCAGAGCAGCCTGGCCAAGGCCTCTTTTCTCCTCCACAAGCCTCCCTATCTGAACTGTCAGCTGAGTCTACATCTTGGAGTGCCTGTGTGTGTCTCTCTGTGTGTGTGTCTGTCTGTGTGTCTGTGTGTGCCTCTCCCATCAGACTGGTCTGTGGGCAGAGGTCTTTCTGTCTCTGACTCCATCCTCGTGCCCATCCCTGACTGTGTAGGTGGTGAGTTCAAGAAAGGTGTGATCCGACACTCACCTTATCGATGAAGGCCACAGAACTTACTGTTGAGGCAATTCTAATCTGCCCCTTCCTCCTCCCCAAGCCACACTGCTGGTCGATCTCCAGGTTGCGGCGTGAGGCTCTCTGACCGACACGTGTGGTGATGATGGGGGCTGGGCTCCGCACACGCCCAGAGCGGTAGCCTAAACTGCGCTCCACAGAGCGGCTCTATAGCCTCCGCACACGCTGTGGCTGCCAAAGCCCTCAGTGAGGCCGCGTAGCAGGAGATGCCACGGTAGGGGGCGGCAAGCGTGCAGCGTTGTGGCTTTTCCAGGCCGGGGCCCGCAGGCCGAGATGCAGCTGAAGGCGCGGCCACCAAATCCTGATCCGCAGGTCATGGTGCTCCTGGACGTTTGGGTTGCAGAGGACAGGATAGGGTACCTGGAGTCCTGATGGAAACTCCAATGTGCTCCTCAGGGCACCGCAGCCCTATTTATGCGCAGATTCTGAAGGGGCTTGGCTGTGAAGATGGTGTTGGGGCAATTTGTGCTTTATGGGCTTGGGTGGTTAGCCAGGTCCAACGCCTCTCTAGACTGTGCTTTAATGGTGTAGTGGCCTGCACCCTCCTCTTTGTAAAGGATGTCAGCCTTGGGCTCTAGGGGGAGTCAGCATGTTTCATCTTCAAAGTGTCTTGCCAGCAGGGCACTCCTTCATCTGTAGGTATTGTGGAGGGAAGGGGAAGGCAGAGGAGAGGATGAGAAGGAGGAGCAGGGCCTGGGGAGGGGAGGAGAAGGGAGGCCAGGTGCTGGGAGAAACTGGGAGGAGGAGACCTGTGTGTTAAGTGTGATGTGGGGAGAGGGGTTTCAGGAAAGGCTGAGGCATTCATAAATACCTTCCCTCATTTCCATCCCAGCTGTGGCTCAAGTGCTCCTGAAACACAAATCTGGATTTCCCCGTCTCCAGATTTTTCAGTTGGCTGCTGAAAACCATCTCACTTTCCTACCATGGGAACAATCAGCAGATTATGAAATATTTGTCTTTTATCTTTCTTATGATGAGAACTTTGAAACATTGAGAAAAATTGGAATAATACAACATGCATGTATTGATGCTCCACCTGGTTACCCCGATTCAACAGTTAACATTATACCATATTTGCTTTCGCAGTTGCCCAATTATCTGAGTGGCAGAAAGCATGGCATGTAACCCTTAAATGCATTAGTAGGAATTTCTTAAGAATAAGGTGAGTACTATTTTCTTATGCAGGAAAACTAACAATAATTCCAAAGCACCACTTACTATTCATCTCAGATTTAATTTTCCTAACTGTCCTAAGAATTTTAAAACTAGATTTTACATAATTTAATTTGTGGCTCTTGCCCTTGTATTTTCTATAAACTGGAAATTAAATCTTGAGCTGGGATGTCCAATTTGGTAGACAACAGGCAGATGTGGCTACTTTGTTAGTAAAAATTAAATAAGTTAAAAATCTAGCTATTCAGTTGCACAATCCACATTTTGAGACCTCAGCAGCTACCTGTAAGTGGTGCCTACCTTATTAGACAGTGCAAATAAAGAACACTTCTTTATTATTTATTTTTATTTGATTTATTGTTTATTTTCACATAAAATTCTGTTGGACAGCACTGGGCTAGAGGCTCGATTAGGTTTAAATTAAACATTATTGGGTAGAATATCTCATAAAAGATGCCGTATA